ATAATAAATTACGCATAGTAGTAATATTGCGCGTATAGCGCAACAAACATACAATAGGTATACTTTTAGGAAACTCTTTGAGTGATTTTATTACTGTATCAACATTTGTGGGGAATAATTATTTGTATTTATGGAAAAWAATTATGACAGATTTTTAAACTATTTTTAAACTCCAAAAAACATAAATGCAAATTCAAATCTCAACTGAAACAATTTTTCTCTTATCTTAAATTTCAGTTTATTTGACAATTTCATCATTCTCAAAAATTTGATACTGTCGAAATAATAATGTATGTAGTCTTAATCTCAGTATCTTCAAAATAAATATGGTACAACTGAAAATTTGTATATTTAATGTTACGTTAATTTATTTTACTATTATATCGTTACTAAGTAACAACAGTTTTTCAAAACTTTAGTAACATCCAAAATTAATTTTAAAGCTTTTGAAAACACAGGATATTATGTTATGAATAAGATTAAATTAACATAATCTAATCAAAATCGATAACAATATTATCCGTACAAGCTTATTGCTCATTAACTTTATTACAGTGGTCTCCGCTTATTGGACGTACAGTTAAGTTAGGTTAGTATTTAATTTTGGCTGCAAACGAAGTGTGTTCCAAATACTGAATTGTGTCCCCAAGTTTTTTTTTTTTTGATTACATGAGTTGTGTCCCATAGCTTTTTTAGGTTACACGAGTTTCGTCTAATTTATATAAATAAAAAAAAATACAATAAATACACAAATCATTATAATAATATTTCAATATTACTCGACATACAATTACAATCGTTGTATAATAGCCATACACAGTACACACCTTATCTCCACACGATAATAATAATGTGCAGAATCGACTTTCATTCTGTAAATATCTTATATTTCTTAATTTGATTTATAAAAACGTTTTTATTTCAACTGACAAAACAACATCATTTTATTCTTGTGTAAAAAATCGATTTGAATTTATCAGCACACAACTTGTATAAAACTTAATAAAACTGCCGGGACACAACTCGTGTACCCCACTTTTATCATTGGGACGCAACTCATGGATCAGAAATTTAGTCGGGACACAACTCGTTAACTTTACTGCGTTAATTTTAATTTGTTAATTTTTACTACATTTTTTGTTGGCTTAATACAATTATGATTTATTTAAATCTTAACTATTTTTCATTGTATTGTATGAATATTAATAATGTGTTTGTATATTTTGTAGTATTGTCATTTAAAGATTAAATTGTTCATTAAAAATTAATGTATTTAGATTATCAAAGGATGCCGGGGACCAAACGTCCTATGGCTAATAACTCTCCGAGACGAAACGTCGGATTGAAATTCCGATTTTTAATGTAAATTCGTGTGTTGGCAGTCCAGAAGGATCAGAGAATTTAAAAATGCTTATGGATAATGCACTGTGTCTTCGATGTTCGTGACGGTGTCGATCGATTTGTAGTTTTTTATTTGGCCAGGAACTTTTTGTAAAATCGGATTGTTTATTTCACTGACAGTATCATTCTTAGGTGACACTATTGCCCTCGAACACAGCCAATKAAATTCCTTTTCGTGCAAATTCTTCATGTCAGAGTAAACTGCATCTATTAAATTATCTAAATTATGGACTATCTGATCTAGTGACTCATCCAGAAGGATGCCACAATTTTTGCTTAAATTTGTATGGGGAAAAATTCCTTCCCCCATTTTTAGCAATTATTGTGGAAAATCACTATATGTGATTCCATGAAGATGTGCTCTCATATTTGTTCGTAACTTTAAGTTTTCAATCGAAATCCATAAAGGGGAAGATTTCAAGCATGCTTTGATGATATCTACTCGCGTACCTCTATTAATGACGGGAAGTGTCTGTCGGATATCTCCAACAAATACAAAAGTGATCCCGCCCATGAGAGCAAAGGAGTTTCTAAGATATTTTAAGGTTCTGTCCACGGCCTCTTTATGTGCTCTATGGCTTATGGTGCATTCATCCCTCATAATCAATGAGGCGTCTTGTTGTAATTTACCAAGAGGTCCATTTTTGCGGATAGAACATGTAGATTGTTGCTCAAGATTTACAGATGACGGAAGTTTATAAGTAAAATGAGCAGTTTTCCATTCTTTAGGAGTGTTGCAGCAATTTCTGATGAAGCAACTACTGTTGCTATCTTCCCTGATTGTCTTATCCTCGCAAGTATCAAATTTGCAAGGGACGTMTTTCCAGTGCCACCTGGGGCATCCAGAAAGAAAATTTTTCCTTTATTAGTGTTCACGCTATCAACTATAGTTTCAAAAACATGTTTTTGATCTGGGACTAATTTTGTCAGGTTTTCATTAGCAACAGAGGTCAAATCATTTGTATTATAGTGATGTGCCATTGTATATGTTTTCTGTACGAATTGGGGAAGGTAATCCAAAACTACATGGGCTTTTATCATTTAATTGCAATAATTTATTTACGATTTGTATCAAACCTTCGTTATAAATGTCCTCACTATATGATAAGGCAAAGTCTTGATTTTATTTTTTGATTCTGTGTCTGATATCTTCACAAAAATCGTCTTTGAAATTGTTCCATAATTTTAATGGTTCCGATGGCTGACAAAATAAAAGTATGACAACAAACAGCTCTCTCAGTTGTACTGGACATTGCGAAAGCGATGCTTCTCTCAAAGTATTTTCCCAATGGTCATCGTTTTCTAACAAACCTTTGGTACGGCAAGCTGCTTGATAGGTCTCTTTAAGAACTCCGTTAACGGTTTTTAATTACTCGAATGAGGTTGGACCACGTACGTGATGTAGCAACATCCTAAGATAAAAACACTCTGACTGAGAAGGATGTACACCGTTGACTCTACCTAAAGCGGCATCTTTTTTTATGCCTGGATGACCAGCAACGTCCTCATCATGCTTCATAATTGAGAATTTATTATTTGCCCATGTGTATTATTGCGGGACTTCGTGGTATAGAATTGTCATTGCGAATTCATCTTCATAACAGAGCTCAAAGAAAGCCAGCAAAGTGGTTTTACGTGGGTTTTGGGCAACTTGTTCAGTCATTTCTGCGGTAAAATACACCCTTTGGCCGTTTTCTAAGTGGACGGCTAACTGCAAGACTGTAGGATGTCGCTCGTGAGAGGGAAATTCTAAAATTCGCCAAACAGCTTCGGATATACTTATGTACCGGCCATTTACATAGTTTTCCATTTCATCGTTTCGGTTATTGACGCTAAAAGTAAGTTGGTCAGATTTTTTTTTCTCCATCACGACGTATTTTTATTGCCCTATCCCCCTAGCCTGTGAACTATTATAGAAAGTTGAGATCTTGGTTTTTTGGAAATTTTTAAATCATTAAAAAAATTAGGAAAAATATTGACTGTCGCACACAAATACTGCATAGCGAGCCGACCGCGCGAGTAGGCCGCGGTCTTAATTTCTTGACATTGACCTGACCAAAACGACTTTCGTTGAAAATTCTGTGTGTGTGTGCTGACACTAATAATAAATATAGATCGACGCCACAACACCGATAACAGCAGTACAATCATATGTATATATTATATATCTATAATTATTATTAGTGTCGGAGCACCCAGGGCAGCGCCGTGCGGGTACGACATTATAATATATATCATCCTCTATTTCAGCCCCTTACAGCTTCTTAAAGCCCTCTTTTCGTATTAAAAAGTAGCCTATATTTTTTTCAGTGTCTAAACTATCTATGTACCAAATTTCATTTAAATCGGTTCAGCAATTTCGGAGCCTATTCAATACAAACAATCAAATATTTCCTCTTTATAAAATTATGAAATATTATAAATAAACATATAAAATATATAAATATAAGCTAATAATCCAATATAATATATATATATATATATATATATATATGAATTCAGGTTATAATAAATTAAATCATTGAAACTATTGAATATTTAGTGGTATATATAATATTTACATAGTTTCATATTAGTTTATACTCATTGGTTGGATATTTTTTGTAGGTGGTCCTTTATTCAAATTATTTTTTTAGTTGTTTCACCAATCGTAAAATATAATATACTATAATATATGTATATCTGAAATATGTATTAAATGTTTGAAGAAATTCTTCGACAAACCGGTTTAAAATTAATTTACTGTCAATTTATCTAAAATATTTTAGACGTTCGCCCTGGAAAAAAATGTCAACGTTTTTTAAAATTGTTTTTTAGACCATTGTAAAAAAATAATAGGCTATAATTAGGGCTGAAATTTTAATGAAAATGCATTTTTTTCTGATGTTTTGAAACGTTTTTGTTGGCTATTTTAGTGTATTTTCTTAGTTTATAGAGCATTTTTCACATTTTGTTCATCAAATAAACGAAAGCTGTTGCGAGTTGCGATTAACTGCAATGAAAAGTTATCGTCGATAACAATGTTATCATAACTAGATTATAGGCTAGTAATAATAACTAGCAAAAACAAGATAAAATATTAACCATTTTTCTTATTATTATTTTAGGATGAATGATTAAGAAAACAGAAGTACAATAGATCTAAAAAAATAACAATGTACAATACTAATAAAGAAAAAAAATACACTCCTGGATAGTATCATTTTAAAATTTTTTCTAATTTTTAAGCTATATTAAATATAATTTAAATACATTTTTTAGAGTTTTATTAAAGCTAATCACTGTTAAATTAATTAATTTAATTAAATAACATACTGTACGATAATAATGTTTAGTATATTATATACATTATATTGTACAATTTTAGCCAGACAGTATAGCTTTTTGTCAAGGATTCACGTGTGACTATTTATTTACAAGTGATCGTTTATGTTTTCCGGCTTAATGTTCTTACCGGAAAATAAAAACCCACCTTTGCGGTGCTGTTCACCTCGAATCCCCCAAGCCTAGTTTCAGTCACAAGGTATCTGAGATTATACCAGTGAATTTAAAATGAATTTGTTCATGTCTGGATTAATCATTTATATTCAGTTCTTCGTTAACCGTTGTTATCAATAGTTTGTGATCTACATTAAATATATAATTTATTAAATTTATGACGTAATATCCATTGTGGATGGCAAACGGATTTCAATCCATTTATTGACATCGACATACATCAAACCCGAGTGAGTGAACAAAAATTGAGATTTATTTGTCCACAATTACTTTTTTTTATAAGACTGCTCCATATTTATTTTTATCATAATTTATAGTTTTTATTTATATCAACTAAATACATATTCAATATAATTTATAAACTCAAATTCTTTATCGATTGATTTTAAAAGTTATTTATATATATATATATATATCAGTAATACTCATATAATTAATATATTCCTAATTCCGATTGATTTATTTTACAATGTTAAAGCGTTTTATAAGACACTTTTTATATTGGGAAAATGCTCGGATATCCAACTTAGGAACAGATTATAGGTAGAAAATTGATTCTTATTTGTATTTTCGGTGAAAAAATAATATACATTTGATATAGTAAAATTTAAAATATTGTATGTGSGTATTTGAAACTTAGTAACATATAACAATATAGTATTATTTTGATAATGACATTTTCAAATGTACTATTTTCGGTGAAAATTAATTCAACTTACTGTATTACTATTAGTAAAATAAATTATTTTAACCACAATAATATCATAAAATTTACTTACAGATCGGCTTCACTAGGAATCGTTTTTCTTATACAATGACTTTATACTATTGAATTAAAATTTAACTCAACCGTCACAGCGTGTCATACGACATTAAATGTATAATGTAACGGCTTTCACTTATCTATCTTCTTAAATTTTAATTGTCAGTATATTGAAAAAAATAAATCATTATTAATAATGTAAACAAAGATAATTATAAACTTTAAATTCAGTTTAATAATATAGTGCTAATGTCGTAATAATGTACCTACTATTATATATTACATCAAACAATAATAAAGTATCTAGGTAATAATTTCACTTTACTATTAAATTACGGCATGTTTGTTTACAAAAAACAAGGGCATACGTTTCTCAAATCGACCTTACTTCAGTTACCGGTTACTGGAACGGTGAGCAGTTTATACCGTTGACAGGCATTTGGCGTCAACCAGTTTTTTATGGCAAATACATGATGCACTGTATGTGACATTGAACGTGTTTTACTGACAAATTCAAGGATGATATTATGATAATGTTATAAAGCCAACAAATTAATTACAAAGTTGATATAATTAATATAAATGTGTATCAATTAGAATTTGTTGTTACAAAAATGTAGGATAGACACATCTAAAAGTTTTGATATCAATTGCATTTAACATTATAATAACTGTCTCGATTTTATTATTCTAGCAATAGCCATCATGGCGAACGTAACTGACAGAAATTTCATTTTGGAAGCCACAAATCAATTTTTCAACACGTTAGAAAAAGAATTAGTATTCGGTTAGTATAACTGCTGATATTTTTATTGTCATATATATTACATAATGTATTGATTKTTTTGATTTAAAGTTTTCTAACAATAAATAATGTAAATTTAATATGAGGCTTAAATATTTTATGGTTCAGGGGTTCATGATTCTCTTTATTCCGAATTAGACTACGATTAATTATACATCTATCGCAAGGCTAGGCATTAACGAGTTAAAAAGTTAAAGTTAAGTTACTTTTAACTAAGTTACTTAACGAGTTACTTTTATTTTCATAAGTAACTTCTAACTTAAAGATTTTATTTTATTTTTAAGCAACTTCTAACTTAAYTAGATAATTTATTTATTTTTCCTGATATAGATTGAAAATTGTATTTAGATTCGCATTACTTATTTATATTATTTCTATATTTTAAATTCCAAAAGGTATTAAATAGGTATTAAAATTATAAATTTATTTGTATCCAATATTTATGTGTGTAATTAATTTAATTAAACCCAAATACAAAATTAATAATTACGGTTTACTAATTTAGTGGGTATCAACAACAAAAAAAAATTTAATTTAGCCATCATTTTGGAAGATTTGTAGGTTATACAAAATACATTGAAATAATTTATTTGTATTGTTTGATTTTATAATTGATTGAAGTATGAAAGTATTAGTCACTAATAGTACCTACTGTCATTATTAGTTAATAAAATTGCATTTTATATTTATTATAAGTTATTTTTCAAATTGACTTTTAACTTTTAACGAGTTAAATAAATAAGAAAAGTAACTTTACATTTTTAATTTAACTTAAATTTTTCTGTATCAACTTAATTTAACGAGTTAAAATAATTAGTTAACTTGCCCAGCCTTGCGTCACTCATTATTTTGAAAAATTCAGCTTTTTTGATATAATTTGCCTAAAAAAAAGATTTTGTTCAAAACCTTCAACATTTTTTAAATAGTGTATTTTTACTTAAATTAGTTATTTATTGTTATATACATATATAGTATATATGTATACGTATGCTTGAGCGATAAAATCACTGTTTTGGATTGAAAATGATTGTCTAATACTTGACTGATTCAATCCCTTATTTACATATTTTATAGAACTAGGTATATACATATATATACCTATATATATATATAAATGTTTTCAAACAACTGATTATATTTTTGGTTTGATATAAACATTTTAAGCAAATCCCCTAATACGCATTCAAACTACACATATAATATAATCGTAATTCATTCAAACACATTAACAATTGTTATTATTTATTTTATAGATGACGTTGTTGATTCGTGGTTTTTAATGCGATCTCCAGTGCCAGTGTTTTCAATTGTGGCAGTTTATTTACTGTTCATTTTAAAAATCGGTCCAAATATGATGAAAAACCGTGAACCATACCGACTCAAACACATAATGTTAATTTACAATCTATTTCAAACAGGTTATAATGCATTTATACTGTATTTGGTAAGTTAAATATTGTAATCTCTTTATTTAAATATTAAAGGAATTTCCTCTGTATATACTTTTGTACAGTTATATAATGAATTTCGATACTTGTGAATGATTTTTAATGATTTATTACATTTTTTCGTACATTTTGTAACGAATAATATCATCTATAAAATTAAGTTTATTTTGAAAAGTTTAATAAATGCCAAACAAATTTTTTCGGTGTACATTCAATGTATAAGTCTAGTAATGTACTCATCAATTATCAATCATAATTTTGAATATTTGAAAAAAAAGTTTTATAATATTACACCAGCTGTAAAAAAAAATACATTTTACAAAATTAAAACGTAATTCAGAAACATGGTGACCAATTTAAATAAAGGCTGTTGGAATATTAGAAATGTTCTATTTACTGAAAAAGATAAGAAATCATGTAAAAAATTTAAATTTAGATTAAAACGTTATATATAAAGCTATGCTAAAAGTTTACATTGTTTTTGGAAATATTTGATACATTTGCATATTAATTTAAAACGATAATCCATTAATGTGATGAGAAACAAAAATAATATTTAGAATACTGTGATATTCTAAATTTAAATATATATATTTCTGTTATAAAGTGTCGATGTTGGGTGGCTGGTGGCTTCYTTTTTCACGCGTCGCATGCCAAAAATGTACATCCACATACATGCTTATTGTAAACTTAATTTACAGATTGTGTATTTTAAAATAAAGTTAAAAATAAATATATCTCCGTATTTATGGAAATACATTCAGACCAAGATAGTTTGATGTGAATCTTTTTTTTTCTTTTTTTTTTTTTTTTTATTGAAGATAAAAGTGTATTTACAATCTATACATACAGTGTATAATAAGTAAGTGTGGTGACTTAAAAAAAAAAAGAAAAAAAAGAAAAAAAAAGATGTGAATCTTAAAATCTCATATGTGATAGTTATAATTTCGTCATAATTTATATTTGAACATATTGTATACTATTTGTTTAGTTTGTACATAGAATACAAAAATTTAATTGAACTCTTCTACTTAAAAATAATATCTAATAAATGAAATATAACATTATGAATTATGTGTTGTTTTTTTAGTTATTTTTTACACCTGGAGGATTAACTAGCATGTGGTATCATTCATGTCATCCAATTGAAAGAAGCAAAAATGCTTTCTTATTATATGAGGTAATGATAATCTTAAAAGCTACTGAATATTTCATTCTGTGTTCAGTTTAATCTATATAATATGTAGCTATGTTTTAAATCAATAAATGAATTTATATATGAATATTTACAACTATTACATTTTCACATTTGATATAATCATATTATATAATAATATATTATTAACGTCATGTAAGCGTTTCACCACTACCAAAATTCAAAAATTATAATATTATGTAATATATTATTATTCAATTAAATTGTAGTATATTGTAAATAGATGTTTATGAATATATTTACAAAATTACATAGTATATATTGAAACAATAAGGGACGAAGACTTAAGACTCTTAAGTTGTATTAAATTTTTACTGGTATCATCTCAAATGTTCAGAATATATTCAATAAGAAACAAATTACACTTTTTTCTATACATAATTTTATGTTTTAAATAATATTTTATAAACAACTAAATGTTAGTATTATATTATATATTTTTTTTTTTTTGTTCAAGTAATAGTTTCAATTTCTAAGGTTAATAGATCACAAAAACAAATATTTATTAATTATACGAAAGAGTATATACAATGTAGTGTCTAAAATCTAAAAAGAGTTTTAGGTACATGTTAATTTTTTTGAAAGGAAATAATTTTCTTTAAGTTCTTTCATGGTGGGCTCTGGGCATCATTTAAGTTATCTGTAGTTTATAAGTTTGTTCGGAATTAATAACGAGTAATCAATTCCGCCAATATCGACTCCAGTATAGGTATCTATACCTAGACTTAGAATCATCTATGGTCAAACGATTCCATCACTTAACAATATTTACCTGTAGTCATTCAGTTTCTTCTTAATATTATTAAAATATTCATTTAAATTTGACTTGATTCTTAAACTAATGAATTACCTACCCTATAATTTAAAGAATAATAATATAATTGTTAATTTATGTATATATATATATATAAGAATTGCATTGCATTAATACGGTGGAATACCAAATATAAGTTAGATTTTTTGCAAATAATTACTCGAATTACCTCCATTTGTATTATAGAATTTATATAGACTGAATCATTATACTTCGGTCACCGTTTCTATTTGAAGAATTTAGTCCAGTTTTTTAAATTTATGTTAAATTATCATAAATTTTTAATTACCTGTATATCACAATAATTTTTACATTGTTGTATATTTGAGTATTTAAAACAAAATTAGAATATTCTAAGTATCATAATATGAATTTTAGATATCCATAAATAAATTGGACGCATTATGTGATCATGTTCTATTTTTATTTTTCAGTTGAATAAAGGATCGTGGTACTTTTTCATCTCCAAAGTCATCGATTTATTGGATACAGTGAGAATATGATAATTATTTTCACAATTATTATTTAAATATGATTTAAATAATGTTAATAATATATACATATTAAACCAAATAATATAGCATATTATGCTGCTGATTATGTAAATTTACATAAACCACTATTCAGAATGCAAGAGGAAGACCTTACAAATCAAATAACTTTTGCTCTATAGTAACTTTGATCAACATTTATATGTAAAACCAAGTTTTCAGTTTGACTATTTTGAATGTTTCAAAAAAATTGATATCAGATTTAAATTTTTTACTTTTAGTATGTAAAAAAAAATGCATAGGTAGGTACCTATAAATATATAAATAAATAATTAAATAACAATTGTTGATTAGAACAAAAGTAATGAAATTTGTAAGATCTCCCTGTTGCAACCTGTATATAATAATATGTTTTAGCTATTTTATATAATTTAAATAATTTATAAAAAAAAAGTTTTAAAATTATGAACTATAAGTTGATAATATCAATATTTTACTAAAACATATAAAATCTATAAATAACAAAATGAAAACAGCATTAACATTCGTGGTAACTCATAATGCATACAAATCGATATTTAATGTTTTATATGTTTATTCGTATTACAGATATTCTTCGTTTTAAGAAAAAAACAGTCCCAAGTTACATTTTTACATGTATACCATCATTCAAATATGGTCATCACGTGTTGGGCGTATTTGAGGTTTATCAAAGGTAAAACTTCACATTATTTTGTATTTTAACATCATTGACCTAATGCTTGGACAAAATATCATCTATGATAACTTTGAGCTATGATAAAAATAAATTCCGTAAACCATACATAATAATATTATGGCAAGCTTTTTAGATTAAAGGAAGCGTCTCGAGAGTGGTAGTAAAAAAGTAATAGCTAATTGACGCATACTTATCATTTAAATAATTTTAAAAAATAATTCAGACAAAATATATTTGGGATATGTATTTATAAATAATGATTGCATGACTGTAAAATTTAACTTAAAGTTTTTTTTTTTTTTTTATTGTATTAAATTATGCACTGGTAATCTAGTACTTGGTACTCATTTTCAAAGAATTAATCATTTTAGCAAATTAATTTAAAAGACGACGTTACATCAAAATGTGTTATGTATATATTTTATATATATAATTATAAAATAATATATCTTATCCCACACATACAATATAGCAAAAAAAATTTCATGATGATATGATTATGTGTGATTCTTTTGAAGAAATGATTGAAAAGTTTAGAATTATATTAATGATTTTTAAAACTAAATATTTCATTATTTTTTTATTTTTTAGGTATCCAGATGCATTATTTTTAATTATTTAATAATATACGCAATACGCGTGAGTGGTGAATCGCTGCTAATAAAAATAATAATTTTAAAATCTCGTGATAAAAATCTTATAGATAGCGCCACATGTGTGTTTCATCGATTAATTTCGTGAGAAAAAAACTCACTGAATTAAAACAATGTTTAAAAAAGGATATAGGTTCTATTAATTTAAAAAAAAAAAAACACTTGACGATTGGATAAGTAGTATTTCTATTTACTATACCCTTAAAATATGATAACTTTTTTATCAATTCATTCTAAGAAAAAAGAAGTAACCATATTATGAGTAGGTAAATTACCTAAAATTATAATTTTCATTCTGTTTTTATCTTCTTAAATTTGTTTATTCCTATATGCAATTGTACATGAAAAACAGAGACCATAAAATTAAAATAAACCACCAAAAGACATCATCTTGACAAGAAAATAACATTTATAAATTAGTTACCTTCTGAATTATAATAAACTGTAGATAATATTACTTATTAATATTTTTATTAATTATTTTAATGTTTTCTAAGTATTAATAATAGCTCATTGACACTTATTGATTTAAGAGTACTATCGACTGATAATATAATGTATAAAAACTAACTGAATCCTCTCATGTAAAATACTCTTTATCAATAAACAATTAATGAATAATAAATAATAAATTATGATAACCACAACATAACTATATACATATTATTATTATACACGTAATATAATAGTTACGAAAATAACAAATATAATTAAATATTATTACGTTAGTAAATCTATTACATTTAAATCTACGCATGTCAACATTTTTCTTAGGAAATAAACTTCTGTGATTTACTAGGAATCTAACAATTTCTTATTATTTTCAGGTGAACAATCAACATTACCCGGAGGAATCAATTCATTTATCCACACTATCATGTATTTCTATTACTTCCTAGCAGCCTTGGGCCCACAAATGCAACCTTATTTATGGTGGAAGAGATATTTGACTAGAATGCAAATCGTAAGTATTGAATAAGCTATAACACCATACACTTATGCATTAAATCATAATATTGCAGTTACTAATTACTTTTGTAATTATGTTTTCAGATTCAATTTGTAATAGTTCTACTCTGGTATATAGGACTAGTCTGTTTTAATTGCGATTATCCGAAAGTATACATTTATTACATGTTCGCGAATGTAACACTCTTTCTATATTTGTTCTCGTTGTTTTACAAAAAAACGTACACCAAAAAACCAAAAACGGTAAAATCGGACTAAATGTTAGTATGAGTATAAGATAATCATTGTAATAAATAGTCTGAATGAGTCTATACAACTGCAATATTGCTACCTATGTAGTATATTGTGAAATGATACAATTTTACAAAATATTAAATTTATATCTGTTTAGTATAATTTAAAATTAAATTCTTGTAAATAGTTATAATTTATTTTGTTTAAATATTAAAAACGAATATCGAATAAATTATTTTAAATGCATAAATTATTAAAATATATACATTATTATTATTATTATAACTATTTATTATTATTATTAATTAGTATTATTTTGTTTGTGGATTTCAAGGTTACGATTTATAATACACATTTCTCATCAACATTGTTTAATGTTTACATAAAATAACTAACATAATACGTAATGCGTGTCAATTTTAAAATATGATATTTTGCAATGAAAACATGTTTTAATTAATTAATATTAATATAAAATCTATGCAACTTAGAAAACTCTACAGGTATATGTATAAATATATGATATTTATTTGTTTTGTTTTGTTTTGTTTGTGTAAATATTTTATTTTTAATATTAATGGTGAGAGCCAAATAAGTTATCCTGGTGCAGCAAAACCTGAATAAACTTACCATCTAAAAATCTAAATTAAACGTTAATAACCCATTTATAATCATATATAAGTTAGGTATATGTAAACATTTTGGATTCTTTTACTTGCTTAAATTTCATTTACAAAAAAAGTTGATTACAAAATATTATATTATAGTAGGACTACTAATCAGCAGCATTATCATACGTAATTTCGTTAAATTTTGGTGTACTAAAATATAAGTTGAGTACAAAACCATCTATACTTAAAAGTTAATTAAATTTAATATGTTATGCATTTTCAACTGTACAATACAAATGTACATATATTTATAATTATAATATACATTTCCTAATATAAATTTAAACATCCCTTAATTTTTTTTATCCATTTATCTTCGATTTTTTTAAATTTTATTTTTTATGAAGTATATTGATACATTTTAACTATTAAAGCTAATTTACATACGAATAAAAATGTTAACATTTATAAATCGAAAATTCAATTTAAATGCCTATAATTATCACAAAAAGAGCCAACATAATTTGACTTTTTAACTACAACAAAAAAGAAAAGAAAATCTATGTAGTCAAAATTGATTTTTAATGATAATTTCCGTATTTTCTCAGTATTATTTTCCTTGTTATTAAGAATAATATGGAAGATTTTTAGATTTGGCCTCGCGTTGAAAGTTAAAGGATAAAAAGCAATTTAACAGATCCAAAAAGTCATGACAAACAAAAAGATGTAAAGAAACAAAAAATAGGGTAAGAGGATGACACTCTACACTGTATAGTAGTTTACAAGTGTAAAGTGGGTTACTATAATGAGTAGTATTAAATTTGAATTCGATGATATAATATCATTGTATACGAAAAACGATTCTAAGCGGAGCTAAATTGGTTAGACTAGGATATTTTTAGATTCTGAACGAAGTGATGAATGTATTGATTTTACAATGATGTGTGTTGTTTTTTTTGTGTGTGTCTGTATACAGCATAACTAGTCGAAATAATGCTTCAATTTCAAACTTTTGGGGTGTGGTTTCCGATGTAAAAGTGAATATCCTTGGTGCATTATAGAGGTCAAAAGTAGACATTTTCCAACAGTTTTCAAAAGAATCGAGAAAAAAAATGGCAGAAAAACGGGAATTTTTGCGCAAAACCAGTTTTCGACCAAATCGATTTTTTTATACGGTTGTATCAAAAACTAATCACTGTAAATACTTGAAATTTTCACCAAATGTGTATGTTAGTGTTATCTATATACAGTTTAATTTTCACAAGTTTTTGACTTTTTTTGAGTTATCTATAGACCACTAAAATTTTTTTTTTGAAGTACCTAACGGTAAAAAAATATTGGACGACCAAAAAAACTTGAAAATTTTATACAAGGTTCCTTATGAGTTGTTATTATTGTAGCTAAAAAAAATTAAAAATCGTAAGTCACGATTTTTTTTAATAAGCGTTTATAGTTCAAAATTTTACGAAATCTGTCAAAAACGCGAAAATTTGCAAGTAATTTTGAAGTTGAAAAATCATAAAATTGTTTTTGTTTATAACTATAAGGATTAAAAATACAACACTMAGTTTTCCCTAATCTTTCCTTAAAGTAGCTATAGAGAAAACTCGAAGCATCATTATAGAAAAAATTTTAAGTGCGTTTGAATTTTAAATTTTTACGAAATAGCGTAATGATAACGATTTATCCTCAAACRATTTTAAATATTTGTTATTATTCAAAAAGTATAAGTCGTAGATACTTGAAAATTTCACCAGTTATTTAGATTGGCATTTTCTTTACATGATTTAAATTTCGAAATATTTTGACTTTTTTTTAGATATTTAATGACATCTGAAATTTTCAATTTTTCTGAAAAAATTTTTTAAAGTGTCGATAAGTTTTATAAAGTATTATAAAGTATACTATGTTTTTCATAAGTTTTGCTTCAAATAGCTATAAAGAAAATTTGAAGCGTCATTATAGGAAAAATGTTTTGAGCGTTTGAGTTTTAAATTTTTATGAAATAACGTAATGACAACGATTTATCCTCAAACCAGGTGTATGTATATCTATGATAATATAAGGTATTATGAATTATGATAACTACATGAAATGTTTTTTGAAAAATTGATTAACTATGCCTTATGCAAAATGCGTCCTAATTGAAAAATAAAATATTTGTTTAAAAATAGAATGTATGACAGTATTTAAATATAATATAATAATATTGTAATAATTACGAAACTTAATAATTTACTATGAATAAAATGTATAAAAAAATTTTCATTTATTTTTAAAATTAATTCTCCCCCCCTCCCAGAAAAATACCCATGCATCTAATATACTTCTTGCATTAATGACTAATTTGCACCTAAATCGATTTTCATTTGAGAACACCTTGTTGTTGTTTTACTAGACACTATAGAGCTAGGTTTTTGATTTTGCACTTTTTACATCATACAAAGAAGTACCAGATATGCGACGCCTCAAAATACATTCAATCTACTGTATGAATCAATATTCATATAGGAATATTAAAAAAAACAACAACAACAACAAATCCTTGTCTAAGTGATGCTGGAGGGCACAGCCATTTACAATATGATATTATGTAACGTACTTAATATAAATGGTGTTGAACCTAACTCAGAGCTGCTCAGAGCCTTCTTGAAAGGAATCCGAATTTATATGTACGACGTACGTATTATAAAGTCGTCCTTAGTGACCAAACATCGTAAACAAATTGTCAATGATGAAATATCCAATGCAAATTGTTAATTTTATCCGTCACCTCACCCACATATATGTGCGTTTCCGGCGTCACGGTAATTTTTCTAATTTCGATATTCGTTTAACAGCCGCTTTGTGCATCAATAATAATGTTGTAACGTATTAAACGCATATTTCGGGCAAAACATAATATTATCTACAACCCTGATTCGAATAAATTTGTATTAGGAGTTACGGTTCGATCTTATCTAATTCTCCAGGTAACGTTTTAAAACGTAGACTCTACCAAGAGGATTTAAATCCCACTCTGGTTATATTACACAATACACGCTATAATCCTACTTTAATACTATACAGATTACTGTATAATAATATACTGTATAGTGTATGCGTCATATAGTACGTAGTAGGTACCTATGTAATATGTGACTTAATACCACAAAATAGATGGAATCATCTATTCCGTGTTGCGACTCTTATGATTGAGTACCTACATATAATGCTCGCTGACATTAAAAAATAAATATAGATTTTAAAAAACAAAAATGTTCTTTTAGTATTATTATAAATATAAGTAAGTAACAAAAACAACGATGTGTGACAATATTCAATTATATTATACTATAAAAAGAAGGTATTTGTTCATTATAATTGTACACTGTATAGACGTATATAATATTATGGCGTATTAAAAATTAAAATATTACTGTTCAAATAATGACATAATGTACACCTAATTATTAATGGTTCATTTTTTGTCATTTATTATTGAGTTGTTAGCGATTCTTATTGATTTGTTTATAGTTTTTCATAGTGAGCTAGTTAAATAACTTATTTAATATTTCATACCGAGTTGAATGTAATACAGTCAATTTATCTTTTTACAGTAATTATTTAAATATAGTAGAGAGAATACAATTTGCGCCACTACATGAAATTTATTGACCAATATTTATGTTATTATCCTTAGTATTTAAAAAAAAAAATACATATTTATTGTAGTCTTWTATTAATTTATTAATATTTGACTTTATCGATTTTATATTAAGTCATCTTATTATTTAATTTTACTTTTGTCCTACTGCGTGTTACTTTTGACCTTTAGTTATTGGATTTAATACTTACTCGTTTTGTTACAATATTACAGTTACAGTAATATTACTAACTGAATTAACTGACTCTTTTCGGTATTAAATGTACAAATATAAAATACGGTGTTCAGTGTATTTTGGTATGAGTGTATATTCTGTTCACAATCAAGTCGTTGTCTGTCTATACCACGCTTTGTGGACAAATCCAACCAACATATTAAGACACAAATTGATTTTTATTAATTTCCATTTGACAAGTTGTACAATAATTATGTAATATTTTTTTCCGTGTAAGCTCTGATATAGCATTAATGCATTTTTCTTTATTCCTGTATACAGACATAATTTCTTAAACATAAGCATTCCATTTAATGTAATTAATAGATTACGTTAGTTGGAAATTAATTTTAAATAAAAGACTGGTCAGCCTTAACTGACAACATATTTTACTAAAGATTAAGAATTTTATAATTTGTTCGTACTAATGCTTGGTACATGCATTATTTTTTTTTTGCTCTAAAGAATCCAAAAATCTAAAAGTTATCAGATGGCTCTATAAATGACTATAATATGTCCAATCTTTACACTTGAATGATCTGATTGTACCGATACATGAAATCTTCCCAATTTTAATGATAAGTGTAATGTTAACTTTGTAATTATATCCCTTAACTCAGTTTTTTCAATTACCACTGACGAATTTATTTATATTTCAATTAATTTGCATGCTCATTGCTCTTATTTTTCTCTCATTTTCTTA